GGATGGATGGATGGATGGATGGATGGATGGATGGATGGATGGATGGATGGATGGATGGATGGATGGATGGATGGATGGATGGATGGGCTTAGATTACAGTAAATATATATATTAATATAGTATACTGTGCAGACGACACAGCTTTACATCACAATGTCAGGTGACCATGAACCCATCAGAGCGTTGGCAAGATGATTAGAAGAGATCAATATGTGGAGGCAGCATATTTAACTGAATAAAAACAAAACTGAGGTGATAAAATTTCGGACCAAAATCGGAGAGATTAAGAGTTAGCTCACAGCTTTAGCTACTACAGCTATAAACCACGGATTTTGGCTGAAATCTGGGTGTCATGATGGACTCAGACATGAACCTTTAGAGGCACATAAAGGCAGTTACTAAGTCAGCATTTCAGAACCTGAAGAACATTTCCAGGGTTAAAGGGCTAATGTCCAATCAGGATCTAGGAAAAACAATTCATGCATTTATCTTTAGAACAATTGATTACTGCAACAGTGTCTTCACGATTTTGCCAATTAAAGACCATCAAAAAGCTGCAGCTGATCCAAAACGCTGCTGCCTGTGTTCTCACTAGAACTAAGAAAGTAGAGCACATCAGCCTGGTTCTGAAGTCCATAAAATGGCTCCCTGTAGCTAAGAGAATAGACTTTAAAATCCTTCTGTTGGTCTATAAATCACTGAATGTATCAACACCTCAATGCATAACAGATTTGTTGTCAGTGTATCAACCTCCCACACCCCTCAGGTATTTTACTTCCAGCCTCCTCTGTACACCCAGAACTAGAACCAAACATGAAGAAGCAGCTTTTAGTTTACAGCTGTAAAAGTGCTGAAAGCCTGAGTTCTTTAAAGTCTAAGTTAAAAGCCAATTTGTTTAGAACCGCCTTTAATTGTTGAAATTAAACTGCTAACTGAGGTATTAATAGTTTAAGGATGTGATGCAATTGTTTTAATACCTGCATTTAGCATGTTTTTTTTATCTTTATTTGCTTTTACTCTGCTTTTATTCTTCTTATATTTTGTTGTCAAATTCATGTAAAGCACTTTAAATTGTCCATGTACTGAATTGTGCTACACCAATAAACTTGCCTTGTTCATAGAATATAGTTTGCGAAAAATGATAAAACATACTTTCCAAAATCCAGGTTCTTTTAATGCCATTCTGTTGTGAAATTTCAGTTCAAATATTCTTTAAAAAACCTGAAGCTTCAAAGACTACTAAATTTACCAATGGTTATTTCTTTAAAAGTTTTATCTACTTTAAAGAGGGTCCAAAGAGCCATAAGTTGCAGACCCCTGCCCTATATTATAATGAAAAAAAAAATTCATATTTGGTAATGTATGTATTACATAATGAGATTAAAGTCAAACGCCTGAACTTAGATACGTAACTTTTGTGTCATTGGTAGCATACTGATGATATGTGACTTCTCTCAGGGCTCATAAAGGACATTTTATTCAGCTGTGTTATATGCAAGGTTGGTAGTAGAAGCTCTTGTGGGTGACTGGGCACATTGGCCACTTGATGAAGTGAGACACATTTGCATTAACCCTTTTTATTTTTATTAATCTTATTTGTGTCCATGTAGTCCTTCAGGATTCTTTTCTGACATCATTTATACTCTTGGAGATAAGGATTACCTATTTTGTACTACCATGTGTTTATTCAGGAAGCAGGTAAATCAGATGACTTCATTTCATACCCATAAATCCTCTCTGTCAAAGGTAGAATTGACACTTACCCCCTGTATCAAGCTGTCATTGACTTGATCTGAAATGTCCGACATAATTGCTACAGCAGCTGTGGAGGACATACACAAATAAAAGAAAGATTAGTCTCTACAACTGTTTTGTAAATCGTTATCCTCATGTCAAAGGTACAACAGGAGAGACGTCTGGAGGCGTGTTTTGACTAAGATTCCTCCCTTATCAGCAGTGACACATCAGATAGTGTTGCAGAGACTTGCCTTCCGATGTATCACAAATCTTTCTACATGCAGAAATAAGCTGCTGTGGCATTCTAGTGGGTTATCACTCGAAACAAAAAGATCTAAACTGGCTTTTTCATGGTAGTTTCATGGTAAGTGAACATAAAGCATCACAGAGTCATGAAGAGCTCTCCTGGCACTAAAAGAGTGTAAAGATTGTTTTTGTTTGTGTTCTAGCAGCATGTTAACTGTACCTTGGGTGTCTTCATATTCCTTGGAATCAGGGGAAAGGTTGTTCAGGTAATCTGTGTGCAGAGTGGGGAAAAAAACAACTAAGTGTCTCCAGAGGAAGAAACGTGGATCTATCATGTATAATTCACCTTAGATCGAATCTGTAAAAATGGGATATTTTTTGTAATTCACTCACCTGTGAGGAGCAGGCGATACTGAGCCACACGTACAATAACTTGCAGGAGCTGATTTTTAAAAGAAACTTTCTCCCCGACTGGGCTTTGCTCCTAAATAATGAAAAATTGCACAGCTTTCATATTAAATTTAGCTTTATTAGACCATAAATTTCTCCAAAAGTTTTTAGGTTTTGTTTTTTCCCTGCATATATTTGCAAAATATGATCTGTCTTCTTATTTGTTTTTTAAGTAACCACTTTTGCTTTGATTCAGCCCAGCTTAAAATATACTTTTCCTGTTGATAATAAATAAAAGATCATATAAAAGTATATAATCATTATTCTATGTATTAATTAAAAATATTATCAATTCAATACTTTTATAGATGAAGTGATTGGTCTTGGTGTTCTTCTAATCTGCTATGTCAGATTAGAAGAACACCAAGAATTTAAAGGTACAGTGGAGTGGGTACGGAAAGTATTCAGACCCCTTTAATTTTTTCACACATTGTTTCATTGCAACCATTTGCTAAAATAAATAAAGTTAATTTTATGTCTCATTAATGTACACTCAGCACAGTTCTGTCAGGTTGGATGGAGAGTGTTGGTGGACGGCCATTTTCAGGTCTCGCCAGAGAAGCTCGATTGGGTTTAGGCCAGGGCTCTGGCTGGGCCAGTCAAATAGGGTCACAGAGTTGTTCCCAAGCCACTCCTTTGTTATTTTAGCTGTATGCTGAGGGTCATTGTCTTGTTGGAAGGTGAACCTTCAGGCCAGTCTGAGGTCCTAAGCACTCTGAGTTTTTTTTTTTTTCCAGGATATCTCTGTAATTACATACATTAATCTTTTCTTAAATTGTGACCAGTTGTCCTGTCCCTGCAGATGAAAAACTTCCCCATAACATAATGCTGCCACCAACATGTTTCACTGTTGGGATTGTATTGGTCAGGTGATGAGCAGTGCCTGGTTTTCTTCCCACATAGCACTTAGAAGTAACGACAAGAAGTTCAATCTTGGTCTCATTAGACCAGGGAATCTTCTTTCTCATAGTCTAGGAGTCTTTCATGTGTTTTTTGGCAAACTCCATGCAGGCTTTCATATGTCTTGCACTGAGGAGAGGCCTCCATCCCTCCACCCTGTCATAGAACCCCAACTGGCGGAGGGCTGCAGTGATGGTTGACTTTGTGGAACTTTCTCCCATCTCCCTACTGCATCTGCAGTTGAGTCACAGTGATCTTTGGGTTCTTCTTTACCTCTCCCACCAAGGCTCTGCTCCCACGATTGCTCAATTTGGTTGGAAGGCCAGGTCTAGGAGTTCTGGTCATCCCAAACATTTTTCATTTAAGGATTATGGAGGCCACTGTGCTATTAGGAACTTTGAGTGCTGCAGAAATTCTTTAGTAACCATGACCAGATCTGTGCCTTGCAACAATCCTGTCTCTGAGCTCCTTGGACAGTTTTTCGACCTCATGATTCTCGTTTGGTCTCACATGCACTGTGAGCTGTAAGGTCTTATATAAACAGGTGTGTGCCTTTCCTAATTAAGTCCAATTTAACACAGCTGGACTCCAATGAAGGAGCAGAACCATCTCAAGGAGGAGAAGAAATAGACAGCAATAGACAGTGTTAAAAATGAGTGTCACAGCTAAGGGTCTGAACACTTATGACCATTTGATATTTCAGTTTTTCTTTTTTCATAAATCTGCAAAAATGTCTAAATTTCTGTTTTTTTTCTGTCAGGATGGGGTGGTGAGTGTACGCTAATGAGAAATAAAATGAACTTTTTTGATTTTAGCAAATGGCTGCAATGAAACAAAGAGTGAAAAATGTAAAGGGGTCGGAATACTTTCCGTACCCACTGTAAAATTACAAGTAAAGATTTTATACTTTGAATAAGAGAAACAGCAGGTCTGACCTCAAATTTCTGAACGATGGCTGCAAACGCAGGTGAAGCTCTGCAGCTGTCCTCCAGTAAACTAATACTTCTGTCATAGTGGCCGATGTAAGTGGTGAAGACCAAGAACTCCGCTTTCCTGGACAGGAAAATGTCAGCAATCCTTTGGCTGTCCTCCCTGAATGGAAAGAAAACAAAGGTAGAACTATGCAGAGGAAACCATGTCAGTCCAAGTTCACTGATGTGAGATCATGGAAGAGGATATTTTCTTATGGATGTGAAATGTGTTTGGTTATACAGATGCATATAGATCTTCAGCTTGTTTGGTTCTTACCAGTGACCTGCTGGTTATAAACTAAAAAAATGCTATATATTTATGATCAGTGAATGTACAGTAGTATACCTTAATGCTAACAGGTTTTGATATCAACATCAACACTCTTCAGTTTCAAAAGACATTACTTAATGAAGGAGAGCAAAAGTTGTTTGTTTTGAGTACAAAGATGAATAAAGTCAAAAAAAGAAAAGAAGGAAGCACTTTTCAACACAACAGTAAGAGTAAATTTCTGCTAAATTTGAATCTACGTTTTCAAGGCCTGAAAACAGTAAAGCCCTGGAGTGAAACGTCTACATGCCTCTGGTTGGTGCAAAGGAAAATCAAAATTAAATCTCAATTGCAATATTGGATGACAAAACAAAGTTCATCACTAATTACCAGTGTCTGATTCGACTCTCCAGATCAGTGAGGATTTTGCGGTGCAGCATGTAGATGTCAGGCAATTCATTGAGAATTTCTCTGAGTCTGTCGTCATCCAACACAGGCTGCCCATCGTCCCCGACAGCAGATCCTACAGCTTTCCGAAAGTCCTGAAACAAGTGGAGAGCTTCATTAGATAATACAGTTCAAGTATAAATCTAATACTAACATCAACACTTTCCTTACAGCCTCATTTCTGCTTTTCTGTCTTTCTCCACCAGAGAATAACCAGTCATATCAGGCATTATAAATTGGAATTATTTGAAGAAATCTCATCAACTCTAAGAGAACTCAAGCTGCAGTGGTATTACCAATTTAATTCACACAATAGAGGGATAGTCAAAGAGCTGGCTTTGCTCAATATTTAACTCCACTGAGGTACTACTTTTATGTATGTAATTTAAACAACATTCAGCAAACAAAAACAGTTCAGTGTTACAAGTCAGACTCTGGTGCACAAAGTAGGTGAGTGTAAACCCGGGGTTGGCAACATCAGTTCTAGAGTGCCACTGTCCTACAGCTTTTTCTAGCAGGACAGTGGCCCTGGGGGACTATTGTTGCCTACCTCTGGTCTAAACATATAAGGTAGTATGTCCAGTCAAAGCATCCGATAAAGAAGCTTAAAAGTGATCAAATTAAAATTTCAGATGAAAGACAATGTTTCCCAGCATCTACAACATAACCTGCCTATTAACCAAAACGGAACTTTAAAAATAAAGTACATCCCACCATATAATAACATATTAGATTTATATTCATTTAAGCTGATCAAATTTTTATTAACGTCTGACTTTCCATTGTCTGGCCTCAGTCCAAAGAAGCTTCACATATAAATCAACAAAAACTAGTTAATGATTTTTTTTAAATAGCTTTTAAAGTATGGATTGGTGTAACTAAAATAGGAAAATCGAACAATCAACCCTCAATCACCATGTTTAGCCTCTGACTTTGACTAACCTGCTTTGAAAACTTAATTTATAGGCAAATGTTACATGAGATTTTGTGAGGGTTTTTTCAAAAGTGGTTATTGTCTCCAAACTATTTACCCAAGTCTCTTTCTTACTGTTGAATAATGAAAAATTATCTTAAATAAGGAAGTGTTTATGTTATGTTTTGTTGTCCATCTTGTGTAGCAAGGCTTGCCAATATTTATGCTCTCACTGTGGTTCAAGGGAGTCCAAAAACCTCAGAGATTGCAGGCTGAGGGATATTTCACACATGTTCTTGCATTACTTTAAGGAAGGTATAGAGGGTTACTTTTGAAGCCTACTTTATGCTGTAAGACAAGTTCTATTTAAGAAAGTTCTTGATTGTATAAATCCTTGTATAAATCACTTTTTTCCCATATGGCCAGGTTGGTTTGGGTAGCCTATTCCCCCTAATAAATAAATCCATCATTGGCAACTTGCTTTTTATATTAACTCAGGCTCTATTAGCCTGATATCAAAACCATTTCAACAATTCGAAGCACTTAACTTTGAGAAACAAAATGCATTTATAACACTCATACACTGAGTTCAATAAGAATGAAAAAGAAACTTCACTCACTTTTTGAAGCAATCTCAGGGCCTCCACATGTCTAACACCAAAATATAAACACAGATTGAGTTAGGTTTCATGAAGGAATGAAATATGTTAATTTAGACAAACAAACTAGAAATGAAACACTTAATATTTATACTCACAGTCTCTCTTTATCCACCAGTTCTTTAACGATATAAAAGGCCCTGGATCGACCATCAGTCTGTAAACAGTGATATCAAATAAGTTTTAACTTCAGGTGTTAGGACTTGAATTTGATGGATCAAGTCTCTCCTATTCACAGGCTATCAAAAAAGTGCTTAAATTCCTACTAAGAGGGACATTATGGAAGAAGGCCATTATCATCCATTAATCTGCTTCTAAATCTGGATTTGTGAGATATTTATGCAATAAAAGGAGGTAAAACAAAAGGAATCATTGTTGTGTTATTAACTCTTCTAATTTCCTTCCCTTTACCATTCTGTGAAAGGAACTACAGTCCCCCCAATGAAAACAACTTAATGAATAAATTCACTTCTTACTATAAAATTGTTTGGTATAAATTGGAAAGAAAAAATAAGGTTTACATGAATTATAATTATTCTATTAAAACACATAAGCTATTCTCAAAGAGAATAAAGGCATTGTTTGTTGTTACAACAGGTCTTAAAGGACCTTGTCTTCCCACAACTTTCTAGGCCAGAAGCTCACTTTGGTTGCATACCAAAGGTTTTGTAATCAAATTATCATGTCCTTTCTCTATCCAATCAGTATCAGAAGCATGCTCCAGGTACCATCAGGTACCATCAGAAATACATGTAGGTCGCCATTAACTGCACTTTATGAAAAAATAAAAAAAAATTGCTTATCTTTACCCTTGATTATAAAAATTTAGTAAAACTATATTGTATAAAGGTACCCTATAACTACTTTGCTGCGAGAATGAATGCATTTACATCCTATCCTTCTTTTAGGCAAAAGGACAGATGATTGTAGAAATGTTTCTCTAAGGAACAACATTAAAAGCATTTAGTTCCTATCTCCCTGACTCAGCATTTGTGGAGGCTAACCTGACGTTCATAGTTGACGTCTGTCCCACCATCTTCTTCCTCAGAGGTGCGTCCTTGATCTTCATCCCCAACTGTCTCCCTCTGACAGTCACTAACTGCACCAGCAGCCACAGCACACACATTGTAGGCTTCTGTGTAGGCACTTTGATAAGAGAACATTAAATAAAAAGAAAAATATACTATGGTATCTAGAAAAGGTCACATAAAGAAACAAGCATCCTAATAAGACCTGACCTTTAAGGTAAGTTTAACTGTATAGCACATTGAAGTAACAAGACAATTCAAAGCCATTTATATGAATAGACCATAGGTAAAGCAAACACACATTAAGACTTTCCCATAATTTTTGTCAATACCGCTAACATCTGCTTAAAAAATGGTTTTCTTAAAGTATTAAACAAGTCAAGACTACAAACTGAAATGTTATATTCTGTCTCTGCAGTCAGATTTCTTGAATACCTTACATCGCTCTTTGTTTAACAGCAAGTTGTGAGAATACATTCACATACATACATGCATACACAATTCACATGAATTTAATTGAAAAATTAAAATCTAATTTACCGTCCTTCAGGTTATTCTACAATTATAATGAATTATAACTATAATAAGCATATTTAGTGTTCAAAGAGAATGTAAATAAATAAAACATGGGGGGATTGTAAAAAGCAATAAAATGGTTCAGAACACCCTCCAGTGACAACTGCAGCCATCTAGGGACACGTGTTGGTACTTTATGTTGCAAGCATTTCTTTTGCAGGGAAACCAAAATGAATATACTAATGGTCGTAGCTCAGTTGGAAATGTGAACAAAGCAAATAAAGTCAAGTTTTTAATCGAATGGATAGTAACAGTATGTTCCTCCAAATGTATATCTCTCTTAGCAATGCCACTGCCATGTTTTTATTCCCGGCACTGTTGGATTTAATCCCACTGAGATGCAAATTAGCACCATACGATCCAAATATGTGAGCTGTTCTGGTTTCTATGTCAAACACATTAAACCCTGCATGGCCCATTACTGCTTACTGGAAGCAACTTTGAATTAGACACCAGGGGCTGGAGTTAGGAGACTACAGCACATGAACACTTTCTATATTAAGCTTTTATATCACTTCTGTAGAAACTGCTGCCACTCCTAACTTGGCTGCTATGACGTGAAAAAGCTCCAGGAGGAAGTTGTACAGTAACAAATCACAAAAGCAGATAAAAGAATAATAATCAATTTTTCTTCAGGGTAAGATTTAAGGTGAAATCATGAATCAAGCATGACTGTTGATGAATTTTAAACGAACTAATTATTAACTAATATCGTTTCTGCAGGCAATACGATTCTCCTTTCCAATTAGTTTTTACAGAGCGCTGGTAAAAGCAGGATTCACCAAAAGCTCAAACACACAGAACTCCCTCAAATCTCATAAAATGAGACAGAATTTTTTTTAAGTCAATATTTTACCAATAAATCATCCTGTAATATATATATATATATATATATATATATATATTAGCCACATCATATGTATTTCATGTAAAACTATAAGGAAAAAAATATGTAATGTGCTTTAAACATACAAACAAGATTAACTACCCTGTGGTGGAAGTTAAACTGTTGATCAACTGGAGGATTCAAAAATTTGAAGCTTTACTGCTGCAGTCTCTAGGGTTTTTACGTTATTGAGGTCAAACATTTCCCTGAATCCTTTGTCACTGAATAGCGTTCCCCAAACCAAAACAAAGAGACAAAATCACAGAAAGCAAGTAAGACTCTAACATATGATCAAACCATTTGACAGTGAAACTGTGCTCGTGATTAGTGCATGGGAGCTAGTGTGTTGTGTACCCTAAAGGAGAACACAGCACAGGAGTGTAGTACAGGAGAGTTACCCAAATGTAAATATCAATTAAATTTTAAAGTGTTGCAGGAAGAGCAGATCCCTCAGAAAGATTTAGTTATAGTACTGTGAGGGATCTTGGAATTTGTGAAAAGGTCAAGGGTCTCATAGTCCTGAGTGTGAGTGAATAATGAAGTATTCTGTGCAGAAGTCTGTAAAGTAGTCAAAAAATAACTATGGAAAATTAAATATACCTTGGCAGAAAACAATTTTGCTGAAAGGGGAAGTCGCTGATAAGAAAAGCACTTAAGGTAAAATTTAGAAAATAGTTCACAATAATGAGGAAAGTAAAAGTACTAAGTATTTTTTGCAATTGAAAATAAGTAAAACAAACTGTTTTTGTTGGTTTCATTATTTCTCTTTGGTAAAAACAATAAAGGTAGAATTTATTTAAAACCTGTTTAAAGACAGGTTTAAACAGAACTGGCCATAAGAACTAAGAATAACACAAAAGCCTGACATGCAAGAACGAAGTGCATCCACTGCTGCACTGTTTGCCTGAGAGAACTAAATGTGTCTTCTGTTAGAAAACTATGAAATGTGTCCTAAAAACAAAAAACAGTACATTGTGTCAAAATAACTTACAAGCAAAATGAAATAAATTTAATCAGACTTTACCAGCAATAATATGAAATGGCTTAGCAGTAATTTTGGTTTATCAACTTTTAGGATAATATTTAGAGTAAAATGTATTGTTCCAGTAACTTCCTTACCCCTTTATAGGAATAAAATACATGGGCATTTCTGTTTTTTAAGAGGCACACTAAAAACTATAAAAACAACAACCTGCAAACAATAATGTGGTGCATTATCTTCACCATCAACAACAAGTAAAAGGGGGGAAAGGACCAGTTCTTCTTCTCTTGTTCAAGTGTCGATTCCAAATAAACAAATCCTTTCATGATTTATTCTGGTCATATCTTAATTGCAGTGAGATTCAGATTTTTAAACAAAGATGTAAAAGCACATTTTTTTGTCTCTAATATAAGAAATTAAAGAAAAGATCTTGGTTTAAAGATACTCAATTAAGTTTAGATCCTCAAAAATATGACTGAAGTACTATGATTAACTAAATTTACTCAGGTAATATGCACCTCTGATTTAGTATTATTAATTCATTAAAGTGTTTTTTTTTCTGAGGTACTAAGTGGTCCTCCTAATTGTCAATCATT